AAATACTGTGCTGCACCATCTCTTCACCATTTCAATCAGGGAGAAGCAATCTTTCAAGAGGATAATGCTCCCTGACACAAACTGTAGTTTCAAAGCACAAAAAAGCATAAAGCTATTGATGAAAATCTGTACTTACCAAAGAAATCCAGGAGAAATGCAATAAACCCGACAAAAAGTAGATGCAATTGCTGGAACGTAAGTAAGTATCCAGGCAAAAGGAATCCCACTGAAAGCAAGGCTTCATACAACAAAGGCTTTCTGGCGAGTTTTTCCTCCTCAAGTTGACCAAAATTTTCTGTACTCAATTGTAACTTTTAAGTCAAAAAAAAAAAAAAAAAAAAAAAAGTGTTAGAAATAAGCTTGATACGTTTAAAATTCACTTTATAATGAATTGTTGGAAATAGGATTTGACGAAAATTGTTAAGGTGGCCGGTTAATTTTGGCCAGTAGTGTATACATATATATATATATATATATATATATATATATATATATATATATATATATATATATATATATATGGTTGGACGCGTGGTCCAGCCAAAAGTCCCCATGAACCCGTGCAAGGTTCTATTAAAAAAAGCATTAAGACAAGATTCCAAGGTACAGGATAATACCCAGGTTTCACTACCGCATAATAAAACCGGAATTATCAAGGCCTTGAAAACACGTAGCTTGGTCTTTCTGCACAGGTACTGGCATCACCAAATACTCCTGTCGAAATTCATGGCCCCTGCTGGCAGGCCAATCTGTCTATGGACATTATGGTCTGTCAGCCCAGAATTATGAACTACAGTACCAAGGTATGTCAAGGTCTCTGTGACTTCAATGTCCTCACAGCAATCACGTACCGACTTAACAGGTTCTAGCAAGTCCCCAAAATCCTGGGATAGAGAGACCTCTATACCCAGTGGCTTCGCTTCATTGCTAAATGCAACTAGAGCCACAACCAAGGTTTCCAAAGACTCAGATGGAATAGCAACATCATCAGCAAAGTCAAGGTCGGTAACCGTGAGTTGCTCCATAATGACGTTGGTCAGTAGCTCTGCCCTATATCCAGTCCATACAATTGTTGAAAAGTGTTGGTACAAGAACACAGCCTTGCCTCACTTCTGAACAGTGAAAGAAGCTCGACAGGCCCCCACCACACTTTACAGCACTTTCTGTTCCAGTATACAGGCTTGCTATTAGTCCAGTAAGCCATGTTGGAATTCCTCTCAATCTCAGGATCTCCCAGAGTGATACCCAATACATTGTATGGAGCACCTTGAGGTCAATGTAAGCTGCCCATGCCCGAAATTACGACGGCGCTCTACAATGACTCGAAACGCCAGGATATGGTCTATTGTAGACCAGGAGTGAATCCAGATTGCTCTGGCCTCTGGTGTTTCAGCAGGTGGTCTCTGATACATTTCAGAAGATTGTGAGCTAGAACCTTGCCTGGCATATTGAGCAGTGTGATGACTCGGTGATTGCTGCAGTCCTATCGATCCCCTTTCCCTTTCCAGAAAAGGATGACCACACCCCTCAAGGGGAAGAATACCAAACTGCCATATGGCAGATTGGTGGATCAATCTGTTACAAGTGCTCAAAATACTCAGTCCAGCGCTTCCACACCCCAAAGAATCTGAGATGAATTGGCCACTTACTGAGCTGACTGCAGTCACCTGGGAAGAGAGCTTGGAGTCCAGCTTTTTCAGGCAGCCAGGACAGAATGCAACCCCAGTGCCATAGGTTCACCAACAACCCTTAACAGTTTAGCTGGGATGCCGCAAATACCCGCTGCTCTACTTGGAGATCACCCCCTTAAATTCAGTGAGGGAGGGTGGATTCTCACTGATGGGTGGGTCTCAGCACTATTTGCATCCAAGTTAACTTTTGATGGATCAACCTGATACAACTGCTCAAAATACTCAGCCCTATGCCCTCGCACCCCAACATGATCTGGCCACTTACTGAGTGGACTACAGTCACCTGTGAAGAGCGCTTCGAGTTCAGCTTTTTCAGGGCTTGGTAAGCAGGACAAAGGTCAGTTTTTAAGAAATGGGCTTCGACCTCCTTTGCACAACAAGTATATGTGGCTTCCAGTGTCTCTTGTGAGGTAAAATTCTGTCTTGATCTTGGGCATTCATCAATCAATTTTTGAGCTGCATCGAGCATTTCACACTTAAAGGTGTCCCATAGAAGTACAGGGTTTGTCAGGTTGTCAAGCACTGTGGACCGACTTGAAATTGTCTCAGCAAATTCCCAGGCACTCGCCCCCTTCCTTAGCCTGTCCAGATGAAACACCCTAGGGTGGTCATTTGACCAGTGGGGAGTTTTGAAGTAGAACCGGAGGATAGCCACAAGTAATTTATGGTCAGTACCAGAGACCCTATAAAATAATGAGGCTGTGATTGATCTTTGCATTACCCACTTCGCTCTATCTTGTCCAACAATAAGGGTAAGAGCACTAGTACCAAGAGCCAGAAATTTTCAATTTCTGGGACCTTGCAAAGTCGTGGAAAAGACTATTCTTACTGCTGACATCAGGGTAAGCTTTGGGCAGTCACTCTGGGTGGACATCACCTCTGCCACCCCTGCCAACATTGTCTCCTATAAAGAGGGGTGGCAGGTTGTGGGACCCAACATCCGTCTGTGGGGTTCACTTGGGTTTTGCTCCACAGGCTCCAAACAGGACCCACAGCCCACCCCACTTGCTAGGTGGTAGGGGTATTTCCCTTCCCAGCATTTCCGTTTATATTTGACACTACTGATGAGCTATATCTAGGAGGAGAGGACTGGTAAGGCCCACCTCCCCTGAGCCTCCCATTAACCCCAAAAGGCTGAAGATGAGTTGACACAAAGCCAAGGAATGTCCATGCCAGTGGGCCATAACTCTATACCTCTGGGGCATCCTGCTGCTCGAGATCCCCACAGTTTAGCCTGGGACCGTAAGGTAAACAGTTTCCATAAGCCTCCAGGGGGACATGCAGAGCTGTTCCCTTTTTTACACTGGACTAGCCAGCAGCTGAAAGCGAGAAGGTATGCAAGCACTTAACACTGCAAGACTACCACACCATTACTTCACATCACCCTGAGCATGAAGCACCCACCCATATATGTATGTATGTATGTGTATATATATATATATATATATATATAATATATATATGTATAATATATAATGTAAACTATGATATGTATATGAATTACGTATATAATATAGGATATATATGTATACATATATAAATCAATCAATAAGTCAATGGTGCTGATGCCAACGGGACGTATATCTGTATCCAAACCCCTCGCTTCCATCCACGGGGAATGGAGGAATAATCCTGAGTCCCAATCATAAAGAAAACGTCATCAGTGTCTGGAGAAAGAATGACCGAATAATGTTGATTAAACTAATTATCGGAAATACAATCATTAATATAATGAGTGTATATGCACCACAAGTAGGCTGCGATGATGAAGAGAAAGACAAATTTTGGCAAGACCTAGATAGTATGTGCACAGAGATACCGGATGTTGAAACAGCCTTGATTGCTGGCGATTTCAATGGTCACGTGGGAGAGAGAAACTTGGCAATAGAGCGTGTCCATGGTAGATATGGGAGCGGGGCTGTAAATCCCAACGGAGAACGGCTAATTGACTCGCAGTGGCATACGATCTGGCTATATTGAACACGTTCTTCAAAAAGAAGGATTACAATACATATGAAAGTGGAGGACAGGAAACACAATTGGACTACATATTATACAAGAGAAGTAAAATGAGTGAAGTCAGAAATTTTAAGGTAATTAAGGGAGAAACAGCTGCCAAACAACATCACTGATTATTGGGGAGTTTAACATTAAAAAGAGGGAGGAAAGGAAAAGAAAGGGCAATACCTAAGATTAAGTGGTGGAATTTGAAAGACGGAAGACCAGAGAAGTTTGTTCAGGAGAGAGTGCTGGAGCAGATAGAGTTGAGAGAGGGAGTTGAAGAGTGGTGGAATTTGAATGCTTCAGTGATCCGACAAGCTGCAGAGGAAATATTGGGGATGACATCTGGTAAGGACCACCCAATGACAAGGAAACTTGGTGGTGGAAGGAAGAAATATCGGAAACTATAAAGCAGAAGAAGATTACAAGGAAGGAATATTACAAAAAGAAATGAGGAAAATGAAGAAAGGCTTAAAACAGCGAACAAAGCAGCAAAGAAAGCAGTGGCAGTAGCTAAAGCTGAGGCAAGGGAAGAAATGTATCAAGAACTCGATACAAGAGGAGGACAAGAAAAAGATTTATAGAATAGCAAAGGCCAGAGACAAGAGTACGAAAGATCAGACACATATCAGGCATATGAAGGATACAGAAGGAAATGTTTTGTATGATGATGATGCTATAAAAAGGAGATGGAAGGAATATTTTGAAAACTTAATGAATGTAGAGAACCCAAGAGTGGAAAACAGGAGCGGGCTTACCAACAGAGAGGAGGACTGATAACATATCACGTAGAGAAGTGGAAAAGGCGCTGAGATTAATGAAATCAAAAAAGCTGTTGGACGGATAACATCCCGATAGAAGCATGGAAAAGCCTTGGGGAGGCTGCTGTAGATGTTTTGTGGGACTTTTAAATAAAATATATGAGCAAGAGAAAATCCATCGGAGTGGAGGAAGAGCACTATTGTGCCCATATATAAACAGAAGGGTAACATCCAGGACTGCACTAACTACAGGGGAATTAAATTGATCTCACATACAATGAAGCTTTGGGAGAGAACTATTGGAATGAGGATCGAGGCTGAAACGGTCATCAGTGAGAACCAGTTTGGATTTGTTAAGGGAAGACAGACATCAGATGCTATTTTTGCCTTAAGACAGACAATGGAAAAGTACAGGGAGAAACAGAAGGGACTGCACATGGCTTTCATTGACCTCGAGAAGGCGTATGATCGTGTACCGAGGTCAGAGGTATGGAGGTGCATGAGAGAAAAGGGAGTGAGCGAGAAGTATGTAAGATTGGTTCAAGATATGTATAGAGATGTAACATCACAAGTTAGTAGTTGCGTCGGAATAACGGATGAATTTAACATCAAAGTAGGACTCCACCAGGGCTCTACTCTCAGTCCGTATATATTCGACCTTATAATGGACGTTCTAAGCGAAGGGATTCAAGAGGAGGCACCCTGGACAATGCTATTTGCAGATGACATTGTCTTGGTGTGTAAAACAAAAGAATCATTGAGAGAGAAACTTTCGCAATGGAAGAGGGCTTTGGGAGACCGAGGCTTGAAGATAAGCAGAACAAAGTCTGAGTACCTCTCATTTAATAATTTTGAGGAGGAAAATGGGGTGGAAATGGATGACGAGATCATTAAGAGGGTACCAGCTTTTAAATATCTAGGCTCACATGTGACAGAGGACGGTGAACTGGATGTAGAAGTAAATCAACGCATTCAGTCAGGGTGGCAGGCATGGAGAAGGTTTTCAGGAGTACTCTGCGACAAGAAGATCAGCGCAAGACTCAAAGGGAAGGTTTACAAAAACAGCTGTGAGACTGCTATCCTTTATGGGAGCGAGACATGGCCAATTAAGAGGGTGCATGAAAAGAAGGTGAATGTAGCAGAGATGAGGATGTTAAGGTGGATGTTGTGGTGTCACGAGGAAGGATAAGATCAGGAATGACTACATCAAAGGTACAGTCAAGGTCACAGAAGTGAGTGCAAAGATGCAAGAAAAAAGGATTAACTGGTATGGGCATGTCATCAGAAGTGAAGAAGGCTATATTGGAAACCAAGTTATGGAAATGCACGTGGATGGACGTAGAAGGAGAGGTAGACCCAAATTAAGTTGGAGGGAAAGGCTAAAAGAAGATCTGGAAGACAAGGGACTCAGAAAGGAAGATGCAATGGACAGAGCAAGATGGAAGAAGCTAGCGAGGAACAGTGACCCCATATAGAAATGGGAATAAGCTGAAAGAAAAAGAAAAAGAAGAAGAAAAAGATGAGCTATATCTAGGAGGAGAGGACTGGTAAGGCCCACCTCCCTGAGCCTCCCATTAACCCCAAAAGGCTGAAGATGAGTTGACACAAAGCCAAGGAATGTCCACGTGCCAGTGGGCCATAACTCTATACCTCTGGGGCATCCTGCTGCTCCGAGATCCCCACAGTTTTAGCCTGGGACCGTAAGGTAAACAGTTTCCATAAGCCTCCAGGGGAGACATGCAGAGCTGTTCCCTTTTTTACACTGGACTAGCCAGCGGTAGCAGCTGAAAGCGAGAAGGTATGCAAGCACTTAACACTGCAAGACTACCACCATTACTTCACATCACCCTGAGCATGAAGCACCCACCCATATATATATATATATATATATATATATATATATATATATATATATATATATATATGTATATATATAATGTAAACTATAAGATATGTATATGAATTACGTATATAATATAGGATATATATGTATACATATATAAATCAATCAATAAGTCAATGGTGCTGATGCCAACGGGGACGTATATCTGTATCCAAACCCCTCGCTTCCATCCACGGGGGTTTCTCATGGGGAGCCATGAGGCAGGCCCTCTCCCCATCTCTTAACTTTTTATGACCAGTCTGGTCGGTCTTCCTAGGGCGTCCCAAAGGCATCTTTCATGCAGGATTGTCACGCGATGGGTAGTGTCATCCACAGGGAAATGAGCTAGGTGCCCATATACCCTGAGTTGGCAGTCATTAATTATGCAAGTAATATGTCCCTTAACAGTCTCACGGTGTAGCTGTTGGTTGGACACATGGCCCTGCCTACTGTACTCCATGATCTGTTGCAGGGACTTGTTAATAGAGGCATTGAGACGAGACTCCAAGACACTAGAGAACATCCAGGTTTCGCTTCCTTAAAGCAAAACTAGCAGTATTAAGGCCTTGAAGATACATAACAGTCCTGTATAGGTACCTGCACCTCCAAATACTCTAGCTGACTGAGTTCATGCCTCCTGCAGCCAGACCAGTCCATCTACTGATTTCCAGGTCTGACAGGCCAGACATGGACTACACTGCCAAAGTATGGAAAACTCTCTGACTTCATAATCCTCATTGCAAGCATGTATCAACTGAACAGGTTACCCTAACAAGCCCCGCAAATAATCTCGGTCCTGGTCCAGGAGACTTCTAGGTCTAGGGGCTTTGCTTCATTGCTAAATGCATCAGTAGCCGCCGCCAGAAATTCCAGACTCATAGGATAGTAAAATCGTCAGCAAAGGCGAGGTCCATGACCTTAATATTGCCCAGTGTTGCACAGTGACTTTGGTTTGTAGCTCTGCCCATTATCCAGTCCATGCAAGTGTTGAAAATTGTTGCAAGGATTCACTTTACAGCACTTTCAATACCAGTATGTAGGCTTGTTATTAATCCAATAATCTATGTTGGAACCCCCTAGGTCTCAGTATCTCCCATAGCACTTTGCGATGCACTGAGTCAAAATTCTACATGAGGTCGATGTAAGCTGCATACAGGCCAAGCCC